AGCCATACAGGAAAACCTGGTTACAACATGGTTATTCCTTGTTACAAAAACGTAAAGAGTAGACAGGATCTTATCCAGGTTTTCTAACCAAGATCTTACCTGTGTTTCATAACCTGACTAAATCTAAAAGTTTCTCTGGAAACTGTAAACATTTTAAAGATTTACCCTTGTATGAGACAGTTAACTTCCAATCTATTTTGCATATTGGAACATTGTTTTGGTTAGGGAACAATCTAGGTATAGCTGTGTCAGAAAACCAGAAGTGTATCTGTAGCACTGAAATGCCTAAGTGCAGTCTCGGCAACAAACATTTACTCATTTCATATTATTAATTTTTCACATATGGGCAGCTTGCTCCCCATACACCTTATACTTTCCAAAATCAGCAGGAGAAAACCTAATTTTACATAGCCACAAATAAGAGATTAGATCCATCTCTGTTTGACATTAATAAAATAAATGCTATGGTCAAGATTTTCAAAAATAACTAATGATTTCGGCACCTATCTTGAGATAAATTAAGATCCCAGTTCAGCAAGATACTTAAACATATGCCTAACTTTAAGCATCTGAGTAGTTTATGCTTGAAGTTAGGGATGTAATTAAGGAAAAACGAGGGACATAAGTGACTTGATGAATTTGGGCCTTAGTATGTCGCAATTCCCTGCTTTTAAGGTTTTGAGTGCCTAGGTGTGTCCTAATGCAACCTTAACTGTCACTGAACATAGTCTTTGTTTCCTGATTATAAACAAGTATGGCTAAAACCCAGAAAAGGCATTCTCTTCTCAATATACTTTTATATAACACTCAATACACACACAAAAAGAAAATCCAAATTGCAACACTACATTAAAAAAAGCTATGTTTCACAGAATTTGGCCATAATCAGAGATGAAAATTTTGTGTTGTTCAAAGGATTGCTTAATTTTTGTAAAATGCTTTGAAAATGAAAGTTAACCTTTCGTACTACTCATTTCAAATAAGGGTGCATGGTCTAGTGTTTATCGCATGGGATTTGGAATCAGGAGTTCTGTGTTTCATTTCCAGCAAGTCTCACTGTGCAGCCTTGACAAGCAACAGCCTTTCTGTACCTCATTTCCCTATCCAGGGAGCTGGAGATATGCTCGCTCATAAGGGTGTTGTGAGGCTTTAAATACTTTGTTCCAGATTGCCAAAGTTAGGCAGGTATAATTAATTACATATGTATAATGTATGGAAATACCCACCGTTCCAGACAAATAATATTAATGTATACACATCACCTGATAGATCCTTAATTTCCCTTGTGTGAGCAACAGGTCAAGTTGATATGTGATTTATACACAAGATTTAGATACCCACAAATGATTGTACATGTCCAATAGAAGCCAAGTTTTCAGTGTAGTAGAAAGAGACAGCCCGAGACCGGAGGCCTGATATAAGGGCCTACTGCAAGGCCTAAGGCCCAAACTAAAGTCAGGCCCTGCCCTGTTACAAAGCAGATGCCTGCTTGCAGGTTCACTGTCCAATACATGAAATTGGCAAAAACAGGGCTTGTGTTGCAAAAACACAAGCACCCCTAGGCATTAAGTACACTGTATTCATGTAATCACATTCCAGAAGGGTAGTATCAGAACACCCCAATACAAGCTTATGGTGTAAACACACTCCCCGAAGAGGATACAAGGAAATACTGACCCCTGACAAAGTGAGATGTTTTGATCGAAACAACATGTATAAAGTAAAGGGTGATAACTCATCATGTCAGAGGGGCAATACGTAACTTGTTTGTATCAGTGTATAAAAGAGGGTGTGTCTTTGTTCAGCCGATGTGGGAAATGGAAAGTGCCAGGTAAGTGGACACAATAGGAATATTTTATAGTAATAAAGACAGGACAATTTTAAAATCCCATATCTCATACAAACAAAGCAAAAAATTAACGTAGATCTGGGGGTAATAGCGGATAACAAATTGAATGAGCCGTCAATGTGATGCTATTGTGAAAAAGACAAATGACATTCTGGGATATATTAATAGGAATGTTGTATGTAGGATATAGGAAGTAATTGTTCCAATCTATTTAGCCCTGATGAACCCTCAGCTGGAGTATTATGTCCAATTTTGGGCACCACATTTTAAGAAAGATGTAGATAAAGTGAAGAGTCTAGAGGAGAGCAACAAAAATGATAAAAGGGTTAGAAAAACCAAATGTATGAGGAAAAGTTAAAAAAGGGCATATTTAGTCTTGAGAAAAGATGGCGAGGGGGATGAACGACCTGATAACAGTCTTCAAATATGTTAAGGGCTGTTACGAAGAGGATGGTGATCAATTGTTCTTTATGTCCACTGAAGGTACGAAAAGAACTCATGGACTTAATCTGCAGCAAAGGAGATTTAGGGTATGTCTACGCTTACCGGGGATCAATGTTGCGGCGATCGATGCACAAGGGGTCAATCTACTGAAGACTTACTAAATTGACCACAGATTGCTCTCCCGTCGACTTCGGTACTCCACCAGAACGAGAAGCGTAAGGTAAGTCGATGGGAGAGTTTCTCCCATCGACCCAGTGCGGTGTAGATACTGCAGTAAGGCGACCTATGCTACGTCGACTCTAGCTACATTATTCTGGTGGCTGAACTGAGAACCTTGATCTCCTGAGTCCTAGACCAGTGCTATAACAGTACTTCATCTTCATGACACCACAAGCTAATTTTTTTCTTGCATTTGGTGTTCTGCAAAGTGGGCTCTGGCAGCCATATCTGAGGTCCAGGGAGCAAAGATCAGGTTTTTCCTTCTTCAGGGGTCAGCTCTAAACAAATAGTGCAGGCTCTTGATTATCACGTGGAACAATCAAGTGGATTTAAATGGGAAGATTGTAAAAAGAGTATAGGAAATCAGTTAGGGCTCAGACTGTTTCCTGAACATCAAATATTCAATATTTACTGTAAATTTAGATCATTTCTAAGTGTTTAAAGATTGACCAATATTGAAGTGTTAAACTTTATGAAAGCAGTAGTTATGGGTACTTTAGTGTACTGTCTATACATTTAATGTTCTGGAGTTATGTTTATTTTCAAAGCATAGGACACTCATAAGGTGACAGCAAGACAATCTCCGCTATAAATATTTTTCAATTTTCTCATTATAAATCAGTTTTAAAAGGATTTATTAGTAGTTTAATCAGGTACTGATTTACTGTATCTTATGAAAGTGTTGCCTTTTTTAAATGAAAAATATTGCAGTAGCTACAAAACATTTGCAACAGGCTAACAAAATAAAGTAATATTCCATTAATGGAGAATTTTAATTGGGACATGCTCTTCAGATATCACAGCTGGAGGCTAGTTTGGATTTTAAATGGTTTTCCATCTTTCAAAAATATTCTTTGTGGTTTATTTATGATTTCCTATACTCCCAGCAAGCCACTAGTTACCTTTTCATATGAAAATGTTCTTCATCAGGAAATGTCTGTATAATACTGCATAATTTTTTAAGGTGGTTCAGCTTCAATCACTCCCTTATAACTTTTATTTTATCCAAAGGTAGCTTTCAAGTATGACCCTACACTTATGATGTGCTAAACCAACTTGACTTAAATCAAAAACCTCACATTCAGTCAGGCACAGTCTTCTCCATGCTGCTGGGCACCAGCAGCAGGAATACTGTGAGCAAAAGACTAGTCTCCTTTCTGTCCATTCCAGTGCCACATACCACATCAGCCCCCAGGTACTGGGAAGAACAACTGCAGTGGAAGTCCTGCTCAGCCCCTGCAGCCTGGGGATGAAGCATTTTCAGTCACTCTGGAGAATGATACATGTACAGTCTGGTCAGCACGTAGGGACACAGCACGCTCAGTGAGATGGAATCTTTTGAAACTTTAGCCGACAGCCTCTAACAAACCTCGACTGAACACGTACAAACTGATTTATTTATTTATAAAAGCAGCTTATAACTCGGCCAAATTTGGGTATATTTTCAACAGGATAGAAAAAACAAGGTGACCCCCTTGCCAAATTTTGAATTCCTCATCCAAAACACAGAGGCACTTCTCAATTAAATGGCTAAGAGAATTTAGCATGGGTAAAACAATGCATTTTTCCTCAAAATTCATTCTGGGAAATGCTTACACTGGTTTTGTTGAAACTTGCAAAAAGCCTTCAGCTTGGAAAATTTGAACCCGAACAGTTAAAGAATTCAAAAGTTTTAAGACACAGAAAACAGGGTCTTCTAATGGAAAATGTGAGGCAACCTTAAGCAAAGGCACTGTTAACATTTTACCCATAATCTGGAATAAGTGAAAAAAGCCCTCTGCCCCCTAAGGACACCCGCAGAGGGATCAGCCAGAATCTCAATGTGCTCCTGGAGCACATGACCAAGAGCATCTACAGCTGAGAGACACAATGAACACATGGAGGGGGTAATGCCATAACTACACCACACTTTCATACAAGCCAGTGGAACACAGCCAACATACTCTGTTTGCCCATTTGTAGGGCTCCTGCCAATTTGTGCCAAAGACCTCAAAGACCCTTCACTCTTCCACCAACTGATATGAGTTTTGGCTGTAACTGCCAGAGGAGTTAAATTTGATGATCTTATCCTTGCTTTAAGATCTAGTTTTTCCAATTACAAGCTTCCTTCAATTCCAGAATGAGTTTAGCAGCACATATTCTCATTAACTCCTAGAAATGAGATTACACTATTTGAAAGCTGGAATTGAGGCATCCAATTAATTTCTATCCCTGATTATTCACAAAGTATCTGATCTTAAAGTGATCCCTGGTCCCTTCCCGAAGGCAAAAAAAGAAAACCCAGAGGCCATTTGTCAGACAGGCCAAAAAGTTTTCAGTGTATCAATCATTAATTGCTATCAGTCATCTCAGGCCAGTTCACCCTTAGTCTTTTGATACTATAACATGCATATAGTCACATGGCAAACAAAAATTAAACCAATTTATCTTTATATTTTTATGCAACAAAAATCAGAACACTCGCATGTATAATCAGCACGAGTCTTACCTGTCCGTCCCATGATTCAGAAATCAGGATCAAATAATGCTGGACATGAAGATTAATCAACGACTGATACGAAAACCAGTTGCAAAGTAATTTCTGTAAACAACAATAATAGGCTTTAACAAACAGGTAAGTTAATAAAATTTAGCAACCCTTTTATAAAATATTCACTGCAAATTTTTGATTTTGAACTTCAGTATGATTTTAGCCAATAGACAGGGTTTTTTTTCCATTTTCTAAGCTATCAGAGGCATACATAACTTTTTAGTAGGTAATGAAAAGACATAAGGGCACTAATTAAATCAAATACTGAAAATGCAAATAAATTGAGATAGCATTTATCAGTTATAAATTGCATAGATAATTTTAGATACAGAAGTTTCCATTGCTTTTAATTTGCACAGCCCCTTTCCTAATGTAGAACACTAGAAAATCATCAATAGCTAATTAGGAACTGCAAAATCCATGTGACAAAATGAAAGTCTTCATAGGAATATATTCTCTGCCTATCAAAGGTCCACCGTCTACCAAGACCTATTTTGAATATGTACTTGTATAACCTACTAAAAAGGTACAATATTCTGGACAGAGTCCTAATTGGGCAGTTGTAATTTGTTAGTTATTTTGTATTTTGCAGATTGTTTCATTATTATCTAGTGGACTTAACACTGTACAACTTTATTAAAATTGTTTAATGTTTTTATGTGTACACAGATATAAAGCAAAGTGCCCTTTCAATACTTACTTTTATTCAGGAGATTTTAAAATAAAGCCATCACTGTAGTCAATGTTCTCCTAAAGCCTTGTATATTCAATTTGTCATTTTGTATATTGAAACCTGCACTGTAATTGCATAAGCAAGAGGAAAACTTGAAAAACAGTGTTAGCTATTAGCAACAGGGATAGCTCAGTGGTTTGAGCATTAGCCTGTTAAACCCAGGGTTGTGGGTTCAATCCTTGAGGGGGCCATTTAGGGATTTGGGGCAAAAAGCTGTCTGGGGATTGGTCCTGCTTTGAGCAGGGGGTTGGACTAGATGACCTCCTGAGGTCCCTTCCAACCCTGATTGATATTCTATGAAACAAAAATCAATAAAAGGTTTGTAAAAGCAGACAGGTAAAAAAGTGTGTTTCAAGAAAATACCAATGTAAATCCTTCTTTGTCAACTATTTCAAGGAAAATTTACAATCTATGTGAAGATTCCTTTTCTAGTATCCACAATCAGGGAAGTTTTGTTCTGCAGTGTTTTAATACTACTCTATTAAATACTTCATATGAAGCACAATTTTACATGAGTAATTTGAAGATTCGCTACACAAGTGAGAAGTATAAACACTTTGAACAAAACATTTGTATTAATATATTTTTTTCCATTGAGTAACTCAAATAAATTTTTATTTGAAAGGAACTCTTAAAGAATGGCTTATTTATAATCCGATCGGCGTATTCATCAATATGATATGCAAAATGAAAAATGGGTTCATAGCTTATCTGGCAACTGAAGCACGTGTCGCAGCTCCATAGTTATGGCTGAATTGAATTTTGCACTTACACTGTAGAGGAGGACAGGTCAGGACACTCATAATTGGGGAACTTGCCTTCAAAAATAACAACCAATCACCACCCTTCCTCTGCAGCTAACTGACATGCTACCATTCTATTGATGAGTCAGTGATGAGAGAAGACTGGACTCAAGAATTCTCCTTAATAAATAATTTTGGCCCCAATTGTCATTGCTCCTTAAAGTTTCTGTGGCTGCATACTACCTTGGGCATCAAGGCATGGCTGCCTAGGCTTCACTGTGCACTGGAGTAGCTGAGGCAACAGTGCAGAGAAACTGAGCACCAGTTCTCCCCACGGTGCTGCTTTCTGTTGTTGAAGGCAACGAGGAAGACAGTGAGGGAGAAGTTCAGAGAGAGAAAGAATGGGAATGCAAGGGAACAGGGGGAAACAAGAGGTGTTGGGCCTAGGGTAAAGAAGGTATGTGCATGGGGAAGGAGCCTATAATAGGCAGATGGGCTTTATGCAAATAGGGAGTCTGGAGTGAGAGGCAAAGAAAAGAATCCAGGCCAGAGGCTAGACCCTTGCAACCCACCTACAAGCTTCAGGTTTGGGTCAGGTATGAAAATGACTCACTCTTGAGCTTGGGTTGGACTTTAAAATTAGGTCCAAGCAGACCTTCTCCTCCTGTTCCTGCCTCATCATCCAGTGGAATGAAGTTGAAAGGCTTCCCATGGCACTTATAAACATTGATTCCTTCACCATCCCAGAATCCTGACTGCTGCACAGCCTTCTCTCTCCAATACAACCCTCTCCTTCCACAACATCTTTCTTTTTTGTTAAACACTGTTACAAAGTACTGTATTTAAGTCTTTATCTTGGCTATTCAAGAGACAGTGAGGGTTTCAACAATACAAAACAGAATACAAAATGACAAACATTTAAAAATATATAAGGTTATAGGAAAACATTGTCTATTACGGTGGTCACTTATAACTATATTTCATAGGAGAAATGTTTTTAAAAAAACGTAGTTCCTTTTTCACTGGGAATGCTGCTTTCATTTATTTATGGACTAATGTGATTGCAAAGTCAAAGCAAATATAATCAAACTGGGTTCCCACTCAGTATCAGGTATTTCCTCTTTGTCCATACTGGAGTTCAATAGGCGTTTAAAATCATAATAAATTAATGTGAATGGAAGTTTTTCCATCTAATATTCTTGTTGGCTCTTTCAAGGAAATGTCTATCTTCTACTCTTTCCAGAGTATTCTATTTCCCTTGCTTCTTAAAGAATTACAAACCATTAGTTCTCTTTTACAATGTGGAGAAATATAGTTAGAATCATTTTGCTCAATTTGGGCTTTTATAGTAAATGCAATACTATCCATCACTCTTGGCAAAATCTGCAACAGTAGAATTCCCAGGACCACAAATTACGAATAAGCCCACTGAAATATTTTATTTCCACTGCAGTTTTGCAGACATTTAAATACAAATCAAATTTAGTTGTGTACCACTTACATGCTAACTGGCATAGATGTTTATTACTAGTTGTAGACTTGATTGTGTCCCTATTGTACCCACAAACAACCCTTTGAAATACAAAAGAGATTTTTTAGAAATGACCACTAATCTTCTCAAGTAACTCTGCCAGTAAATTTAGCATCTTTGTAGCAAGACAGAATGTGGGATTCATGTAATACTTTGTACTTTCATAATATCATGTAAAACTAAGAATACAGTTATAAATTAAAATAAGAAGGAGAAACCATTTCTTTAAAAAAAATGTATATAATTTCATATTTCCTGATGTTTCAACACTTTCATGGAACCCTCATATGCACTCCCAATTGGGGTGGGGTAAAAAAAAAAAAAAAAAGGTGGCACTGAACTATAAAGGCAATTTTGACAACAAAGGCAACTTAAAAGATCTGTGATAGTAATGTATTCTGTACAATTTCTGCTAGTAATATTAAAAGAAAGTTGGTAAACTCATTGTTCAGTTGGTCATTAATTTATCATAATATTTTTAACACTCAAAATAATAATAGACTGAAAAGTTTTGCCATTAATAAGAAACAGAATATTAAGGAGAACAGAGGAAAGACAATATTGTATGGGAAAGGAAGCGTTTGTATTTAAAGTTTTCAGCATCCGGTGCAATAGGTATTGACTCGGTAGACTTTGAAAACAATCTCTTCCCTGTAATCTCTCACTAATTTACTTGGAGTTTGGAATGATTGGAAGACCCAAGTGAAAACAGACTTAAATCCCCGACAGCATATAATACTATTTTTTAAACAAGTGTAATTTGTAATCTCAAGGAAGAGAACTCCTTCATTCCATTCGATCCACCTGCTATAAAGCAGACTTCGCTTTACACAAACTAAAAAAAAAAAAAAATCTTCAACATATCCTTTGGCTGAAGATAAAAGTAGTCATTACAGAATGCCAGAAACAGACACATCAGATTTGAGAAGTAGGAATGAAATTCTAAAATAGAAATAATTGAGGAAAACTAATCCAAGACTTTGGAATACTTCTGTAACAATGAGTGAACAATTTGAGTATTCTAAAGTTGGGCTTGTTCTACATTAAGCCTTGCTAATTCTCACATAATGAATACATATACCTGATAATTCTAATGATGAGTGGTCTCTTTCCAACTAAACAATTTAAACAGATTATAATACTGTTTCCTATTATCACTACTGTAATTATTATTCTAATTAATACTATAGCCAGCTACACTTGTAAAAATAAAATGACTGACATTTTATGCATTATCTTGGTTTTCTTCATGTTTGCTTATTACCTTGCATATTCCAGAGACGCACAATGGGCCTGCCAATCATTGTTGAGAATTCTTACTAGTTAACCACAAAAGGCATTATAAACATTCCCCCACAAAAAAGTATGAATTTACAGTTAAGATCGCTTAATTGTATTCCAATCAATTGAATTACTAAAAATCTAGAAAATCACCAGTTAAGATAACATTCACATCTACATCCATCTCAAGTCATATGCCTTGCCACCCAAGCACACAGCTCAGATTCCTCAGCTCCACAATGAACACACTTCTCACTCCAACCAGGATGGATAAACTGATTTTTTGTATTTAAAAATCACAAATATCAGATTTTTATGTAATTTTTTTTAAATTGTGCTTAAAAGTAAATTTAAAGTTTGTTAAGACCTAAATTTATTATTACAATTTAAATAAATATAAATATGCTGCATCGATGAACTCATCCTAAAATCTGAATGAATTGTGGACATTTCTTTATATAACTAAAAAAGCATCAAGAAGAAAACATCTTTAATTTATGAGGTCCACTCAAACTTTATAAATATATCACATCATATACTATATTAAGAAAGCATCTATATTGTTTTCAGTCTTTACAATGGAGCAATTTTATCCCCAAATTTAAGGACTTTTAATTTCTGTTGGGCAGAAAAGTTCTTCCATTAAATTACTTTTGGCAATGGTTTAGCCAGCAGGTGCAGAAAGGCTCATTCAAAGTTAAGAAATCAACTGGGAATTGAAAAAGCAGGAAAGTTTGTTTTCCTATTCCAATCTATGAATGAAAACAGGTGGGAAAGGATGAGATCTACTAACCCTAACAATCTGAAGGACATGGGGCCAGATTTTCAGTGGCATTTTATATTTTAGATGTGTGATAGATGCCTAATGGGATTTTCAAGCTTTCTTAAGCAGGGTAGATACCTAACTCCCATTGAAATAAAATGAATTGACATTCAGTGGGAGTTAGGCATCTAGCCTGCTTAGGTGCCTCGTGGGATTTCCTAAAGCATCAATCTGCATTTCCAGGCACCTAAATACCCTCAAAAATCTGGCTCATGGTGACCAGAAACAATCCATCAATTCACCAACTACAGATAATACTTCCTTTGCTTAATAAAGCGAAGTTTTAAATGCAAAACATGTTTTATTAAGAAAAAATGTTTATGTATACAGCACATAAGGTAGCTTCTTTTTAATCTAACAATTTAAAAATGTTGTTTTTGTACTTTTAATTGAATTCCAATTCCCATGCAAATGCAGCTTGATAAGTCCAGAGTAAAAAATTATCTAGTAAATAAAGCAGTCATTCACCATTTTAAACATAATAAAAATGTAAAAATTAAGTATCTGAATGTTCACACTATACAATTACTTACATAAGCGTGCATAGTGTATCCTCCTGGTTAGCAAAAAGTAGTACCAAATTTAGTGTGAGGACTATATTTGGTTGCAAATGAACATGAGAATGAACCTTTCTTTAGGAAAATAACTAAAAAGTACAAACACAAAACAAGATTAAAATCAATTATTTATTTCAAGGTTTCCCACTTGATTTAAATAATTAAAAACTGATTTAAACTCACTCACTTAAATAAATTCATCTATGCTCCAACATATTACCAGTTAAAATGCACATTCAATTTCTCACAATTACATGTACTCAAATGCACAACGTGAATTTCAACCTCAGATAGATGACTACAGACCTGCCTAGTGGCAATGTGTTATTTGCACATGAATAACTATGAGGCTGAAGTCAATGTTTTGCAGCTGAGTATGACAACATGAATGAAGTTGTAACATTGAGAGGAGAAGTAGGCTGTAGTGGAGCACTGTTCTTGTGGGACTCCTATGGGACTTCTCTCTTTTGAGCCATACAAGGTTAGTCAGAGCAAAGTACCTCTAGGGTCGGAATTGAAGTTGAATGTGTATGGGGAGGCTTTAACAGATGGCCATCTGAAAGATGAAAATAATTTGAGGTTTCATAGCAATATACTACTTCATAACACAACTAGAAATACTGAGAGTTGGTTAGTAGGAATCCTGTGTGACACCTACAAAGAAGCTAAGTTTCAGTGGTTTTATTTTCAGACTCAGAGGGTTTTTTTTCCACGGCATTAATCTCGCAGTATATTGAGTGCACTGCACCCAGAAGTTTCTAGCTTGAGATAACTGGAGCTTTAAGCTCAAGGTAGCCCATCGGGAAGGATGGGTTGGAGACTGGGTGCTGCTGAAGCTCAAGCTAGTAATGCAGGGAGGACACAGCTTTAGAGAGTAAAAAGCTTGAGTTATGTCTCCCAATAAGCTGGTAAAGAATACTACAAGCACATAAGAACGATAATATAGTATGCAAAATGTAAAGTAAGATGAATCCAGACACATCCCCAGTACACAACTTAAAGGGTGGGAGAGTGTGAAACGGTGGTGTCAGGATAACACCATTGTCTCCTTAAAAAAAATAAAAAAAAAAACCACCTATGTCAGAGGTAGGGAAAGATGAGTACAACAACCTTTAGCAAGCTTGTTCAAAGGCTTGCAAAAACCCATCTTCAAACTCATCTGTTCACACCTAATATCCTATATTCTTTACAATCTGATCCCATTCCTTTCCAATTAGAAATAATTTATTACATGAAAAAAATTAAGACAGTATATTTACCTTGGCTCCTTGTTTAAATATACTAATATTACAGGTGTAGCTGTCAGGTTACATTCTCTCCCGCACCACTTGGTTACATATTGTACAAATTTTAGTTTTTGCTATTGGTTTCCTGTACATTAGTACTAAATATCCCACTGCTCCTATCTCCAGATTTCTTTGCCGACTTGTTCTGTGCAAGAGCTCCCCCTGCAACTCTAAAGTCATCCACAAGTCAGAATCTCTTAATTTACACCAAGCAACCGTTTGATAAAGACAGATATGAAACACATATGGCTGGTCCAAAGAGAATTTTTTTTCACCGGGGACAGGTGTGGGGGTAGAAGGGGTAAGTTTAGTTGGTCAAAAAAATCCCTGACAATTATAAAAAGATCCGAGGGGCTATAAATATAGCATCAAACATCACTGCTTAAAGACAGAAAGATGTTTCACCATTTTTACAGAAGTACTGCCCTAGAAGTTTAAAAACCTTTGCTCTTGATTAAGCACCCATATACCTCGTGTGTGATCAATTCTCTATATGTCTAATCTATTGATTTATTATTCAAAGCGAGCAGGCTGAAATTCAACATCAGCAACCTTGACACATTCACTATACAGGTCTTCTTCCTCACTTGTCTTCCCCATGAATCACCATTCTTTTGCACTGCTTAAAGAAGCTACAAGCTTCCTTCCCATTTTTGGATCTTAGTGGCCAAGTCTTGTTTCTATTGTCTATGTACTACTAAAAAAGAAAGTTATGCTGAAGAGGTACCTAATTGCAGACAAGCATATGCATTCCAGTTTTAGTCATAAAGGACCATCAAGAGAATTAGTGCTATTAATCTCAACAGTTCATTACAGACCACACAGCCATTTAGCAGAACAATTCTACTTTCTTAAATATACTTTTAGGAATTCAGTACAAATGTTCACACTGAATTCAAACCTAATATAGAATAAAATTTAGTAATTGAATTGTTAACTCCCCTTCAATATAAAATAAAACCTTCCTCTCCTCCCAATTTCTCTCTACCGCATCCCATTCTCTCCTAAAACCCAAATCACATACTCTCTCTCAACCATTGTGTTCTGATTCAATAATATAAGTGTCAAAAAAGGAGTAGCATTTCTATTATATCATGACCACCACTCAGTTTGCCAGACCTGGGGAAAATATTTCTGATAAAGAGAGAAAAAATTAAATTTACATTTCTTCTAGTAGGCTATTTCTCTTGACATCTTCACTGAAGCATTCTCTATAAAAAAAGAAATAAGAACACCCTATGCCAGCAACCTCAAAAGTGAATTCAACTATATTTTAATATCCATTTTGGCAACATGCAAGCTATTAACATTGTTGACATACATCACCTGCTCTGCATTCTACATAACATGTTCTCTTTACAAGAGCTCTCCCTATACTTAAATGAAGGAGATTGTTCCATTTCTGTATTCAAAAAAAAAAAAAAAAAAAAAATATTTATAGAAAGGTATTTCATAATCATGAGGGCCCAAACAGCACCAAACATCCAAATGCAGCTTCAGCTATAGAACAGCAATAAAAAAAAAAAGATGTGACATTGTAATAACAAAATACCTCAAAAATATTTTACAGTAAGTAGCAAGTAGTAACTAAAGAGCAAAATATCCAAACAGATTTAGCACCTAACATAGCAGATAATTTGTGTTTTAGGTCACTTGTCATCTCAGAAATCCCTGAATCAAAATATGTTCATGTTTCTAGATCAATCCAGACATTGGTAAAATCCATATTCAAAACAGTGTATCTATATTTCCAACAATCCTGATTTTTGTTGTTGAAGACTCTCACCTAGTCATTATGAAAGAGAAATTCACTTATTATAAAGACTACTTTTTTTTCGGGGGGGAGGGGGGAGATAAGTTACTTACTTTAGTTGGTATTAATTGTGTGGTGGGTTCATTTTCTTCCCCAGCCTGAAACTTTTATATACATGAGGTTTTACTTCCTCAAGATACATGATCTTTTTGAGTCTTAAAGATGCTTCTGTCAAAATGTTAGCTGTATTTTTATATGTTAAGTATTAGACCTATCATTTTATAAGTTAACTATTAGTTCTATTTACTATACAGTATTACTTACTATTTTAAAATACTATGTGAGTAGGATTGCACTGGAGTACCACAGGCTTCTTTTGTAACTTTGTTTTGCCCCACCACATACTTTCTAAAATAACATACTTTAAGTCACATACTAAATTCACCATAATTTTATGATGAACAATTTTACAACTCTGAAGATTTTATGATCACTGAGCAGTTAACAAGAAGTCGTCAACTTTATATATGAGATTTCATTTTTAAAATGTTCTTAGTAACAGATATGTATTGGTACATCAATGTATGGCCAATCACATGGTCTTGAGCAAATCAAATTCCATTTTAAACTAAAAAGATAATACCTGCATTATTAGTTCCCTTATTTCATTTGGGTTCCCCCTACACCAATTAAGCAATATTTAATACACAACATGATATCCTTAAATGTTTTTTCAAGATAACTAAAGGTTGTAATACTTACTATCAGGCATTGTTAGCCAGGAATTTGTCTTCAGTTTTGCAAGATGAAATAAGCTATAAGAAAATAAAAATATAATTTGAATAAGAAGTCAAGACATTATGTACATTGGTTTAATACATTAATTTCAAATGCAAAACATGCTGATAAACTTTTTTCCTTATGTATACAGCAGATATAAGGCAGTTTTATATAACTAAAATTTTTTTTTTTACAAAGCCATTTTTGTGCGTTTAATTGAATTCCAATTTCCATCCAATTGCAGCTTGACAATTCACAAGTAAAAAAAAAAACATGTAATAATAAAATAATAATAATTCATCATTTTCTAATGTCATAAAAAACAAAAATTAGTAATCTGACTACATGAATGTTGAGTTATATTAATGTTTAGATGTAGAGATACAGTGTCCTCTGGTTAGCAAAAAGAAGTATCAAATTTAATAAAGTTACCTTTAGTTGCAAATCAACATTTTAATGGTTATAACAACCAACGAGAATGAACCTCTCAAAGATAACTAAAGAGTAAAATACAAAATATGATTAAAATCAATTATTTAAATCAAGGTTTAGTGCTTGGTTAATCAATCTACCTTGTTTGAAAAGTATGCCTCTCCACAAGGACAAAGTTACAGCTTTTATTTTTATTTTTTGTGGAAGGAGAAAGCAGTGTATTGTGGGTGGTGCGTGTTTGTAAAATGAAGATAAATTAATGACTGCTGGTTGAAAATTTGATTCAGGGATTACAGAGAACAGATATTTTCTGGCTTCATTAAGGGTGCATTTGTAGTACACATAATTGAGCAGCCTTAATAAGGTTTTAATTAAAAGAGCCTGATGTCTGAGTGTTGAATTTTTGACAACTGCAATGAATGGGGACACAGTACACTTTGCCAGTGAAACATTATAGGTAGAAGGTAGAGACAAATATAATTATGGCCAGATACTTCCTATTATAAGACCCTATTTTCGAAAGCTTATAAATTTACCAAACCTCAATTGTTCAGGCTGAAGTTTTTCATACCAGGTGTGTGCCTAATGCTGAATTTTTAGGAAATTTTCTGCTAAAACAGTTTAACTGTTTCTGAGAACAAGCTTAGGAAAGACACATTTTGCCTACATAAAAAAATTCTTACAACCTTTTCATTGAGAAGTTCTAGCACCCCCATGCTTTAGAACAGGCAGTGGAAATCTGAAGAGTCACCTTGGTGTGAGGAGTGTGCCTTTTCTCCCAAGTCCACAGGGATAGGAAAGCTGCCAAGAGGAACCAGCCAGAGACAATTACTGGACTTTCTCTGTGATGACTGGTTATGTGCTCCAAACCTCCCCCTTCCTCAGTCTCTTCATTTTATGTCACTACAGTTGCCAGCTTTCTAACTGCACAAAACCAAACACCCTGCCCTACCCCTTCTCTGAGACCCTGCCCCCTACCCCCACTTGCTCCATTTCCCCCTTCCCCCCGTCGCTTGCTCTTCCCCACCCTCACTCACTTTCACCGGCTGGGGCAGCAGACTCTGGGTAGGGCCAGAAATAAGGGGTTCAGGGTGCAGGAGAGGGCTCTGGGCTGACGGGGCGGTGGAGGACTCCAGCTGGGGGTGCGGGATCTGGGGTGGGACTGGGGATAAGGGGTTTAGGGTGGAGGAGAGGGCTCTGGGCTGGGGCAGAGGGTTGGGGTGCAGGAGGGATGAGGGCTCTGACTGGGGTGCGGGCTTTGGGGTGGGGCTGGTATGTTAGCAACAAGAAGGTGGTCAAGGAAAGTGTGGGCCCCTTACTGAATGAGGGAGGCAACCTAGTGACAGAGGATATGGAAAAAGCTAATGTACTCAATGCTTTTTTTGCCTTTGTCTTCCCAAACAAGGTCAGCTCCCAGACTACTGCACTAGGCAGCACAGCATGGAGAGGAGGTGACCAGCCCTCTGTGGAGAAAGAAGTGGTTCAGGACTATTTAGAAAAGCTGGACGAGCACAAGTCCATGGGGCCGGATGTGCTGCGTCCGAGGGTGCTAAAGGAGTTGGTGGATGTGATTGCAGAGCCATTGGCCATTATCTTTGAAAACTCATGGCGATCGGGGGAGGTCCTGGATGACTGGAAAAAGGCTAATGTAGTGCCCATCTTTAAAAAAAGGGAAGGAGGAGGATCTGGGGAACTACAGGACAGTCAGCCTCACCTCAGTCCCTGGAAAAATCATGGAGCAGGTCCTCAAGGAATCAATTATGAAACACTGAGAGGAGAGGAAAGTGATCAGGAACAGTCAGCATGAATTCACCAAGGGCAAGTCATGCCTGACTAACCTAATTGCCTTCTATAACAAGATAACTGGCTCTGTGGATGAAGAGAAAACAGTGGACGTGTTATTCCTTGACTTTAGCAAAGCTTTTGATACTGTCTCCCACAGTATTCTTGCTGGCAAGTTGAAGAAGTATGGGCTGGATGAATGGACTATAAGGTGGACAGAAAGCTGGCTAGATCGTCGGGCTCAACGGGTAGTGATCAATGGCTCCATGTCTAGTTGGCAACCGGTATCAAGCGGAGTGCCCCAAGGGTCGATCCTGGGGCCAGTTTTGTTCAATATCTTCATTAACAATCCAGAGGATGGCGTGGACTGCACCCTCAGCAAGTTTGCAGATGACCCTAAACTGGGAGGAGTGGTAGATACACTGGAGGGTAGGGATACGATATAGAGGGATCTAGACAAATTAGAAGATTGGGCCAAAAGAAATCTGATGAGGTTCAACAAGGACAAGTGCAGAGTCCTGCACTTAGGAAGGAAGAATCCCATGCACTGCTACAGACTAGGGACCGAATGGCTAGGCAGCAGTTCTGCAGAAAAGGACCTAGGTTTTACAGTGGACGAGAAGCTGGATATGAGTCAACAGTGTGCCCTTGTTGCCAAGAAGGCAAACGGCATTTTGGGCTGTATAAGTAGGGGTATTGCCAGCAGATCGAGGGACATTATCATTCCCCTCTATTCGACATTGCTGAGGCCTCATCTGGAGTACTGTGTCCAGTTTTGGGCCCCACACTACAAGGAGGATGTGGAAAAATTGGAAAGAGTCCAGCGGAGGGCAACAAAAATGATTAGGGGGCTGGAGCACATGACTTATGAGGAGAGGCTGAGGGAACTGGGAATGTTTAGTCTGCAGAAGAGAAGAATGAGGGGGGATTTGATAGCTGCTTTCAACTACCTGAAAGGGGGTTCCAAAGAGGATAGATCTAGACTGTTCTCAGTGGTACCAGATGACAGAACAAGGAGCAATGGTCTCAAGTTGCAGTGGGGGAGATTTAGGTTGGATATTACGGAAAACTTTTTCACTACGAGGGTGATGAAGCACTGGAATGGGTTACCTAAGGAGGTGGTGGAATCTCCTTCCTTAGAGGTTTTTAAGGTTAGGCTTGACAAAGCCCTGGCTGGGATTATTTAGTTGGGGATTGGTCCTGCTTTGAGCAGAGGGTTGGACTAGATGACCTCTTGAGGTCCCTTCCAACCCTGATATTCTGTGATTCTATGGAGATGAGGAGTTTGGGTGCGGGAGGGGACTCCAGGCGGGGGCAGGGTGTTGGGGGGGGGGGCCCCGGAAGCACTTACCGCGGCTCCCAGGAAGCAGCCGCCAGGTCATTACGGTCCCTAGGTGTGTGGGCAGCCACGGAGGTTCCACACACTGCCCTCACGCCCGCAGGCACCTCCCCTGCAGCTCCCATTGGTTGCAGTTCCCAGCCAATGGGAGCTGCGGAACTGGCACTCGGAGAGGGGGCAGCACATGGAGCCCGCTGGCCGCCCATGGGGCTGCAAGGACCTGATGGCCACTTCCAGGTGCTGCGCGGAGCTAGGGCAGGCAGGGATCCTGTCTTAGCCCTGGGCCCCTGCTGCACCACCGACCGGACTTTTAACGGCCCAGTCAGCAGTGCCAACCGGAGCCGCCAGGGTCCCTTTTCAACTGGGTGTTCGAGTCGAAAACCGGATGCCTGAGAACCCTCCACTTACCCTCTTCTCCCCTTCTCTTCCCCCCCCCCGCATCCTCCTTCCCTTCAATGTCCTTTCTCTCTGCCCTTTAGCTTATCCCCTCCTAACTAAACCCACCAGAGAGAAAATAAAATTGTGGAACTAACATATTTGTTGCCACCAGACTGTACACTCTGCTTGTGTGTTGTAGGCCTTCCCTGACCATCTGTCTGTCTTGTCTTTTTAATCTGTAAGCATTTCAGGGAAAGGACCATTGTTTTGTTCTGTTTGTACAGCTCCTGGTGCTTTGTGGTACTGGCCCAAAACTAGGGCTCCTAGCACTCCAATAATAAAAATAATAAATAGTGGGCCCACATTTGACCAACTTGTAATCTTCTGAAACACTTGAAGATTTGTTAGAGGCCAGCAACCAAATTCTCTGAAGATTCCATGTGCACCAGTAGTGCTGCATGCCGAAACAGCTCCCACATGCTACCCAGACCACACATCCACAATCCCCATGAAGCAACTGAGCCCGTTTCTTCCCAAGATTGCAGAGGCTGAGCAAAACTTTCCCTGCAGTTGCTGGGGACTGCTGTAGCTCTGATTATCAGAACTGAGAGCACAGGAAAGCCTCCCTTCTCTCAGCAACTAACTTGCTGGAACCCACAGAAAGAGGCAGGGGTCCTATGGAAAAAATATTGAATATTTAATTAAAAGTTATATCCTAACACATACGCACATGGGACTGAATTAAGTTTGCACAGGCAACCTTAATTCTGGCATTTTTATCTTTGAGTGCTTGACTAAGCAACCTTAATATTCTTTTATTTTAGTTTTTTTTGTCATTATATATACACTTCTCCAGTGTGTACTAGGTGCTTTACATACATGCAAGACAGGTCTCCTGCCCCAAAGAGCTAATGTGTAACAAATGCAGTGTGAACTTTAGGTACTCAGCACTTTGGTGAGGGGGAGGGAGGCTGAAAGGCATTTGCCAAGCCATGGCAAAACATGATTGAGATTTACATCAACTCCCCAGCTGACGAGGCAGAGAATGGCCTAAAGTTCAACAATCTGCATCCTGCCTACAGTCACCGGGCACCTAGCTGGCAGCCATAAACAACCTTCCAGAATCCCCATCACGAAACTGGCCAGCTTTCCCTGTTCATTGATGGACAAGGTCCTGAATAGATGGAAAACACATTATGCCACTGACAACTGTCCAGAGCTATGTGACATGGCAAATCACAAGGCTGAAGACCCATGGAAATATGAAAGGCCATTCCGAAGTTAGAGTGGATGTGCTGTTGGACCTGATATTCCTCCAGACTTGCTCAAAGATGCTTTGGAAGCAGTGAGCATCAGCCTGCAACAAATACTGTATTCTTCAAAGTGTGGGCATCTGGCAAAGTATCAACAGAATGGAATAATCATATCATAGTATCTCTGTACAAGGACAAAGGATCTCACACTGAGTATGGGAACTTCAGGACAATTTCATTGTTTTCAGTCCCTTGAAAGGTATTTGCTCATGTTCTGCTTGGTAGGATGCAGATGCTCCTTGACAGAGGTCAACA